TCTGGGTGTTCCAGCACTCACTAGTTCTTGCCAGAGGGAAAAGAGAAGACCAAAGTATTGCGAGAATGACTGTTCTTGCGGTAGCCCTGGCCTCCTGGGAATTGGGAAGTGCCATAAATCTCAAGAGTGGGACTGTTTGTGCAAATTTCCCAGCCCACATTTCAGACTCCACAGGTTCAGATGCATTTTTTTAAATGTTCCAGAAAAACAAGCAGACTTTGGGACACGCCTCTCAACCAGACTCAAACTCCACATCTTGGTGATTTATCCATCCTTCAAACGACCAAGAATGCTACCCATTTTTAACAGGTTCATCTGCATTGTTAAAAACTGCCCTTATTTTGGCGGATAAGCCAGTCAACTCTGGAAACAGCGATGGTCTCTTAGATTTCTTTTTGGAAAGTGTCTTAAATTTATGGTGGGAATTACCCATGACAGCTGCATTCTTTCCATTGGGTTTAGACCACCATTTGGTCTAATCATTCCTAATTGTGTGTCTATTGTAGTCCACGCTTCTTCAAAAGTAAAAGAGCAGCGAAAAGACTTTTGAAAATCCACTAAAGCAATACCTGGTGATTCCTGTCAATGGTAAACACTATTTTGAAACTTAAGAAGGTCAGCTGATGATGAACAAAATCCACATTTGGGTTTCTTCACATGTGGATTTCTTCAGAGATTCTTCACCTCTGCCGTTAGTGCTAGCCTGATTTTTTAAAATATAAAATGACTTAGTTTCATCGTGTTCCCAAAATATTTTTAGCATAACAAGGCAAAATTCCTGTCAGCATTCACAGTCATGGTATTTTCTTGAAAGAAGTACCTCTCAAAGTAATTTTCCTCCAAACACCACCAAAGTAAAACATGGATACTTTAAAGACGTTGCTCATTTAAAAATCGTAAGAGGTCTAATTATATTTCCAAAATAAGTAGTTTCCAATCCAGCAAGGATAATGTGGTCATGAAAAGGATGTCCAAATCCACCAATTTACATTGGTTTGGTTTGGCATAACTTTTAAAGTTCTTGGAGCAAAAAAGAGGATGGCACGTGAGTCATTGCAATTTGGGGAATATTCCCAGGATTTTAGGTTTGCCATTCTGTGAACCTTTCAGGGGAAAGCTAATCAACTTCAAGACCTCCCCTATATAATTTATAACTGCTAAAATGCACTGATATGTTCCAGATTATTTTGCAAAATGTAATACACTCCTTTTTAATATGTACTTTGTCATTTTCACTCTATTTATGTAATGTAAAAAGTATGATAGCAGGGGAGCATGAGCCATTTAAAGCAGGAGCTACTAATGTCAGAGACTGTTATCCTTCACAAGATAAATAGTATGAATATCTCTGAGTCTGAAGGGCTTGGAAGTTGTGTCAAGTTAGACTTAAATTGCATCCAATATGGTTTGCTTTACTCCCTTTTACTTTCTGGTTTTTATGTAAGCCACAAAGCACTTTCTCTGCTGTGACTTAGTTCTATGACCACAGTGGTGGCACTGGTCTGAGTTACCCTCCCTGTCGTCATTCCCTGCCCTTCTCCGTTTTATCCCCCCAAAATTGAGTTATTAATTTAGTATGAAGCTGCTTTGTTTAAACAGTATAATGCTTTTCAATTGCTCATACATAATATATCTAACATACTGCTCTTTCAAATGTTTTTGATTACTGAACTTAAAAACAAAAACTAAAAAAAAAAAAAAAAAAACCTAAAAAAAAAACTTCCACTGAAATTTATGGTAAACCAAGGGGGTACTTCTTATGTAAATTTATACTGAGGAATTTCAGTAATTGAAATTTAGTTTATAACTTTTGATAACATATGCATATGCATTTCAATAATATAAAACAATATTAGAAAAGGAAAAGTCCTAGCTTCAGAATACAAATGCACTTTATTTTGTATCTCCTATGAAGGAAGATGAATGTTAAAGTGAGATTTAAGAAGGGTCCTCCTTACAATAAGAATATGTGGGAATTCAAGTAATTGTATTTACTATTAACCTCTGCTAAGGGTCCAACTAATTAAGAAAACAAACATTAAATACATATAAAAATATGTATAGTAATTTTTCTCATTTTTTTGTAGATTTGACATCTCATCTTTAAGTATTATTTTAAGTAGGGCTAATTTGACTAATTCTTTAGAAAACAATTTTTATTTGGAGAATGTAGATCTATATATTTCATTGATGTTTTTATTTTCTAAAATATTCTGTTACTCAAATTCCTTCTGAGTAACATAATTCATGGAAAAAACACAGGACCACTTTCTTTTGGCCAAACATGGTTTGTATTGGCAAGCCAGATGACAGTGTTCACTACTTGTGGTTCTGAATGGCTCTTGACTACTTCCAAATTCAAAACCATTACCAAAGTCGCTGAACTTGCCATCATGGCCATTTTTCTATCGACAATATGGAGCCTGTAAAGGTGACTTAAGGGAATTCCAAAATACTTTCCTTAACAACTACATGTTCAGAAAAATCAAGCATACTCCCAATGGGGAAAACTTTGAAAGCACACACTTACTTGAATGCTAGGTTTAATATTTTTAAAATATATTACATTACTTAGAATTTATATTTAAAACTAAGTACCAAATCCCACCAAAGCAAGAAAGCAAGAAAGAAATTGTTAATAAATTATAAAGTTCTGAGTCATTGTGCAAAAATTGAATACCAGCATGGTTCTATACCAAGATTAGGAATCAAATATTAAAAAAATAATAATTAAGATAATTGTCACATTTAAGTTGTCAAGTGTACAGTATACTTAAAAGCAAACATACTGGAGTACTTTTGATTAATGGAGCTATTCTGTTCATCAGGAAAGAAGAATGTATTGGTTTTTCTTATTAATATGTCTTAAACACTTTCAATACACACAAGTAGGTGTCCAAACTTATTCTAATTCCTCACATATTCATAGTTCTCAGAAAAGGACAGACTTGGTAACTTATTATTAGATTATTCTAGAACTGCAAAGATCACACCAATTAGCCCAGCTGGTGTTGCTCAGTGTTTAAGCATAGACCTATGAAGGAGGTCATGGTTTGATTCCCAGTCAGGGCACATGTGCAGGTTGTGGCTCAATCTCCAGTGTGGGACATGCAGAAGACAGCCAATCAATGATTGTCTCTTATCCTTGATGTTTCTATCTCTCTCCCTCTCTCTTTCTTGTTGAAACCAATAGCAATATACATATTTTAAATCACACCAACTAATACATTTGCTACTAACTATTCAATTTTAATGACGTTATCCCAAGTTATTCCATTCTTTGCTACGTGGAAGGGTAAGAACCATTGTGAGGATGATTAGGTGGGGCAGAAGAACATTTGAGATGGTGAACATATTTTGTGTGATACTATCATGGTGGATACATGTCATTATGCATCTGTTTAAAATTATAGAATATACAGCAAGATTGAATCCTAATGTAAACAGGGGACTTTGAATGATTATGATGTATCAATGTAGGCTCACCAGTTTTAATAAGTGTGCTACTCTGGCGGAAGGATGTTGAAATGGGAGAGACTATGCTTGTGTGGGGGCAGAGGAAATCTCTGTACTTCCCTGTTGATTTTGCTATAAATCTAAAACTGCCCTAAAAAGGTAAAGTCTTATAAAAATAACGAGTGATTCAAAAGTAATAATACTAACTAAAATAAAAATAAAGAACATTTTTGTTTTGAATTATGCTGTTACTACCAGTATTACATGTCATGTGATTCTACCCTAACCCACTGATGAAATACTTTGTACAATGACAGACACTTCCTACAGTAAATGTAAAAAAAAAAAAAAAAAAAAAAAAAAAAAAAAAGCCATGTTAAATTAATAAAGAAGCTCATTTTATGTCAGCTAAGCTTTACAGAGCCTTGATTCTGCTACACTATCACAATAACTTCCACCAATGTTTTTAATACTTAGGATAGCAAATTACAATGTTCAGCCATGGTGCTGTACCACCTAGAGAAACTGCTGAGTCCATGACCTCTGCATTGCTGGCATTCTCACCCAGGCCTCTCCAAGAGCACAGACACATCAGATAATATATACTCTTGGCATTAAAATTGTATTATCAACATTTTTAGGGATGATGAGAGTGTTTGAATGTGTTTCTCTTTTAATTTTCCTGTTTCTTCATCATTTTGATGACCTAGTGTTAGAAATCACTAGCAGTTGTAACAGATGTGTGGGAAACAAGTGGTTGGTCATCTAAAGCCAATGCCAGCATACCTTATTTTGAATTATAGATGGGACCAGTGTTAAAATAATCTGGAACAAATTTTGCCATTTTGTCAAGGATTCATTTTATTTTATTTTTCTCCCATAACAGAGCACCCCTTACCTGTAATGCACTAGAAATGTCAAAGTAATTATACATCTGGAATAAAAATTGTATACTGCAGTTTGAAATAACCAGGTCAATATATGTCATGCTGTTGTGGCACTGGAAAATGAGAATGGACTAGAACAGGATAGGATAGGACAGGACAGGGTAGGCTAGGATAGGACGGGATGGGATAGAAACTGGAGGGAGGGGATAAGAGAAAAAGGGAGATAAGAGGAGGAAAGGAGAGAGGGAGGAAGGAAGGAAGGAAAAACCTAAGACTTTACAAATGGCTTGGGTTATTCTGTCTTTCCAACAAGGGGCAATAATACATGAATGTTCTTATTCCCTGCCCTCCCCCTCAATTTTATGCCTATGCCTATATTTTCCTTAGGAATGAATCTGAACTATACTGTGAAATCCCATGCTACCTACTGCTCTTTTATGCTTCAACTAGATTCAAGTTTGTTGACCATTAACTGTCACTGAAGTTCATGATTAGTCTTTTGGGATTAAAATACTGAAGATTGCTTGGTTTAGGACATAGAAATATGTTTGTGAGGAAGGTATTTGATTTACATCTGTCTTCCCATATTTATTATGTTTTCTTTTGCCATCTCAGTTTCTATATCAGCAAATATAAAGCATGCATTTTTATTTTCAGGTCTAGATGTTGATGGAATATATCGAGTTAGTGGCAATCTGGCAACAATACAGAAACTAAGATTTATCGTCAACCAAGGTAAGTGATTTCTTCACTTCAGAGATTTTTTTTAGTAGTTTCATCTCTACCAATATTTCTAATTCTATGCTGTAGGCATTGATAATGTATAATAATAGATAAAAGTTTGAAGAGAGAAAAAGAAAGTTAAAAATGTAAACAAGTATTACCAGAAGCAAAAGGTACTTTACATGACACTAAATAGAATAGAGGGACCAAATAATAGTTTATGTAAAAGAAATAATGACAGGAATATGGCAAACTAAAAATGGAGTGGAGGCCTGGCTGGTGTGGCTCAGTGGTTGAACATTAACTTATGACCCAGGTTATGGTTTGATTCCTAGTCAGGACACATGCCCTGGTTTCAGGCTTGATCCCCAGTAGAGGGCATGTAGGAAGCATCCAATCAATGATTCTCTGTCATTATCAATGTTTCTCTCTCTTCCTCTATGAAATCAATAAAAATATATAGGTATTTTAAAAATAATGGAGAAGAGAATAATGAAAGAATAAAAACAAGAAAAATAACCTAACTTCTAAAAGTATTACTGGGATACAACAGACACTTGATATATGTTGATAAATAAATGAGTAACTGAATGATAGAAAACATAAGAGCCAAAATCATAGATGTTAGAAAAAATATATATCAATGAGTAAATGGTTTAAACATTAGGAAATGCATATACACCTAAAGAATTACAAGTGAAAGCAATAATGTGATATCATTACAAATCTTCCTACATAGTAAATTATTCCTTAGTTTTCAAGGCCAACTTAGAAATAATTTCTTCCTGGGTCCATATTTCACTGGACAGTTGAATTTACTATAGTACATACTCATGTAACTTCTAAAATTTCATGTCCTACAATACCCAGAGATATAATGCCATCTTTTGGAGAGAGTGTTATAAAATGTACACAGTGATTATGTTTTGCAAGCACTAAAATATGAAAGTTTGGATTAAAAAAATAGGATATTGGTTGAAACATCTGCTCCTTACACAAATCTCAATACACCTAATAGGTAAGACCAGACTCACCCTTGAATCTTCCTCTATTAACCAGTTAGCCAAGGATCTCCATAGAGGAAATTCTTAATTAACGTTTATTGAATTACATGTGTGTGCTGCACATAGAAATTGTATTACTGAGAATCATTAACTCTCTAGCAGTTCAACTCGGGTTGAATCACCCTTTTAAGCATTGACAGCAGTACTTTTAACCAGTGGCCACATGACTCATTTCTGAGAATCTTCTTAGAAGATTGCTTACTCACTAATGCACACCTTTGCCTTTCACAATTACTCTTCTTCTTGGGGGGAAAAATAGAACTAGGTTTTACCTCAGTTGCTCATATTGTCCCCATTAGACTGACCCAAGCACCCCCTCTGTAGGTAAAAATTAGATAAAATAGCCCCGGCCTTATTTTCATTCATGTTTATAACCAGCTAAAATTGCTTTTGCAATATATTTCATACTGAAACCATATCCTGATTGGAATTCTAGACAGCTGGGCAACACATTTCTTCTACAAAGAAGAAATCTCAAAACAGAAGCCATGGTAGAAACAAACACTAGTTGCATTTCCTGCCTTAAAAAAAATTATGCTCAGCAGTTTGAAAAGGCAAGAAAAAAAATCTGCAGTGAACATACAAAATCTGTCCATCTTGTCTTTTGCAATCCAAACTTCAGCATCCTTTGAGGCTGTGTAACTGCTCATGTTTCCATAAGAGTTGACAACGTAAAGCTGGACAGAGGCCTGGGTTGGTATCTGGTAGCACAGAATTGTCAGTAAACTGTCTTCCTGGTTTATAGCACTGTCAGAATGCAACACGCTCAACACAAATTATTTTACATTAGGACCTTTGATACGGTGGTTGTATCCAAGTTGTGTTGTGGAGTTTTTTTGAATTAGATGATAAAAGAAATGTATATACCAGCCTCTCTCAAGTTTTGCCAATCAGATTATCCTTTGAATGAAATTTTTGGAGTGGACCCACGACTTTGGTACAAACAGCATACCTTCCCCTCCATCTGCATGCAACCTGGACTCTGACAGCAGAGCTGACTTAGAAGAGAATCTGTGCTGGGATTCAAAGAGGTGGATGCGTACATCACAGTCTTCTGTGTGTGTGTGTGTGTGTGTGTGTGTGTGTGTGTGTGTGTGCGCGCGCGCGCGCACACACACACAATGAAATGAAGTGGCAATGTGGTGATCATTCCATAAAAAGCATAAAGCGATATGTGAATGCAATGCATTCTTTTCTGTATTCAGAGATGGAACATGAATAATTTTGGCATGTTCTCTTTGTTTTAACACCTTTCATCTCTTCTCTGTCCATATTCCACAATGTTTCTTTTTTAGAAGGTCTAAATATACATGTTTAAAATGAACAGGCCTTACCCACCATTAGGCCAGAAAAATGAAAACTGATTTGGGGGATTTTCAAGAAGAGTTCAGTTGCAACTTTTGTATTTCTCTAACTTTCTTGAATGCTATAATCATCAGCAATTCTAAATTCACCAGTTGAATGATTCAATTTGTTTTGGTTTTCTGTTTGACTCACTAAATCGGTAGGAATTGTACACCCTTATTATACTTCCAGATCAGATGGCATACAAGTTATTGTAAATTCAAAGTGATCACTTTTGAAAAGCAGTTCCTAATTATAACTGATAATAATAATAGTTATTATTATAAAAGTAGCTAACATTTTTCATAATTTATTGGGTGGCAGGCACTGTACCAAGTGCTTTATGTATACAATTTAATTGAATCCTTTCTACCATCCCATAGAATAGGTACTATGATTGTTCCCATTTTAAAGATGCGGAAACTGAGGTTCAGGGATGTTAGATGATATCCTAAGGCCATACAACAAGTGAGGGAGCCAGGACCCAGGTCTCTGGTTCAGAGCCTATGTGAAGATCAGCATTTTTCCTTCCTTAGCTATTAGTTACTGCCTTACTAGGGTACAAGTAAAGATCAGCCTTTCTGTGCTACACACATCTATAAGTGACTTTCTGTTTACACCTGCTTTCTGGCTTATAAGTGACAAGTGCTGACATAGGAGTTTAGCTAAAACTGTTCACGAGAGATGCCTAGGAAAAATCAAGCATTGTTGTTAGGATAGGAATAAGCCTGACACTGCTGTTCTCTGAGGGGCTTTAAAAAGCCACCTACCTTTGGACCAAGAAGCTGCTTTAACACAATATTCTGTTGCAGCCTTCAGGAAAGGCATCAGGATTCTCAATTTACGGGGCTGTCGGTGCATTAGCGAGCAGTGCTCTGCCCTGTTTGGTGTATTGGTGACAGCCGTCAGTAACATTCTGCTGATGCAACTTTCTCGCTCTATGAGGGCATCCCCATAGAACGCTTATCCAGGACCTTAGATGTCAGCTTGTCATCAGCCTGAGACACTGAGTTGATTTTTCAGAATGAACTGTGACCCGATGGTTTTCTTCCCTGAGGGTCCAAGGACAGGCTTCAGTGTGAAGGATGTTGCGTGACTGCCCTGTGAACTTCCGTCAGTGGGTCTTGGAAATCCCACCCGGCTGCATTTCCCTCCTCCGCACATCAACACTCTGGTTCCAGCTGCACATCTAGGCTTTTTGCTCCGACTCTAAATTCAGTTCGGACTCTCAGTGGTATTTCTTAGACATCCTCTTTACCTTCTAAAACGGGGAGAAGGTAAACCAGCATCCTTTTCAGAAAACATCAGCTATGAAGCTTCTCAGGCCCATGATCCAATGGGAGAACCATGAGGCAGGCATAAAGAGCAGAACCAGAATTTTCTAGATGGGTGGTGCCTTGTAAACAGTAACAAATATTCCCTCTATTTCTCAGATGGAGAGAAATTGCTTCTTATCAGGATTGTAGACATGTTTTCCATATATATATATTTTTTTAAGTGGGGAGGGTAAGATTCTAGGAACACTCTCCTCTGCTTTTCACACAAGGAGGAACAAAACATCTAAATGTCATAGATCTGTCTACATGGCCAAGAATCTTAATTGGGTGTGTGTGTGTGGAGGAGGGGGGTGTATGTGTGTATGTGCATATGATTGTGTGTGTTTTCAATGGAAGAGTTTTTTCCCCTATTAATTTTCAGTCTTGCACTTTGCATATTTTTAATTCACCCAGATCTTATTGGCATACTAATCCACATTAAATATTGGCTTAAAGAGATGAATTTGCTTATTTTGGGCATGCTAAGAATAAGTTGCATTGAAAATAAACTATTATAGAAACAACTTTTTATTATCAACTATATCTAAACTACTTTTATTTAGATTTATACCACAAAGCAAAGCATTAACTTTTGTGGCTATCCCTATGCTTTTCATATTATTGAAAATTGAATAAAGAGGAAAGAAAGAATGTAAACAATAGGCAGTTTCATCATGAAATAAGTGAGTGGATGAAACAGAAAAAGATTTGGGAAAGGATTTCAAAACTTCTAGTTCTGTTCTCATAAAATAGCACTCATATCAAGTCCAGTCATTTTTCCATTAAGTGTGTTCATGTATCCCTCTTATTATTTTCAAAATGAGGTGTTTCCTTAAGCCTACTTCACTCTCACCATCAACCACAGCAGCAACAAAACAAACTGTATTTGCTCTTTATTCCATTCTGTGGGGCGGTTTTTTGGTAAGTCAAATCATGGATATTGCACCTTTCTGGCTGCCATGTGACGAGATTATGTTTAACAATGATGTATTTTTCCCATTAAAGCTAAAAAGATCACTTGATTGTAAAAGAGCATGACTTTAACATTGTTCTGGGCTTTGGAAACTTTCTTAGACCTCATTTTTTCAGCTACATCAAATCAGGGAGCTCAAAAACTACTGATGGCAAAAATGTATTGCTTTCTACCTTCTTAAGGAAATGTATTGTCGTTAGTAAATAATGCTGAGCATAGAGCTCAAACAAATAAGCTTTTCACATTCATACATATTTATACAGTTTTTAGTTTCTACTTAATATTCTAATAACAACTTCCTGAATATTTCTAGTC